TTTGAAGGCTGAAATCTCCCCCAAATACTTTAAATATTGGTCATGAATGGTTCTCACAGCATTGATTCTACGCCATGTGGCACCAGTAGATATCATCCACTGCTGAGAATGAATCCCTTTCTGTAATGATTGGCATTTTCACCAATTAGCAATCCTTCCATGAGATGCACATGTCAAAACAGTATGCAAGTTTGTTTTCATGCTGCTGCTATGTGTCTTAATTTGTTAATACTGCTTGAACATAAAACCCAAGAATACTACACAGCTTTTTTTTTTTTTACATTTAAAAATGGCTTTAATTTTAGGAGTCAAATTTCACAAAATATACAAAATATTCAAAAATGATAAATCAGAAAGCCCCTGACATTTTAAGAAGAGTCTTGGGGAAACTTCTTCTTAACTACCCATTTAACATATGAGATAGGTTTGCAAGTTAAAGGACCTTCAGCTTCCGTGCCAGGTTCTCAAAAGTTTCACTGTGTAACTTGGCAACAGTTGTACAGGCCCCAATCAGCACCACTGAAGCCACAGGGAGCTTTTAAATCTCTTTTATATGTGCAAATTTGGCCCTTTTTTTGCCCAATTTTCAAACCTAAGATCTGTACTGCATGTATCAATAAAGTCAGTCGGCACAGGTCTCAATATTTATTCTTTCAAAATCGCCTATGATATAAATATTACTGTTCCCTGTTTATTCCCTGCAACTGAATAAACCTCAATACAAAGCCATTAAGGTACCAATTGCTGATTCAGATATCAATTTCTACAGCCGCAGCAACAATAAATTGCTCCTGTAACTTTTCTTTCAAAGACAATTCACACTTTTTATGAGGATGTTTTCTTTTCACAAGTTTTGGATATATGAGTACTTGCCAAGAGATAGGAAAAATGATTGTGGTATGGTAGACAGTCTGGAGAGAAAAACTAGAATGTTTTTCAGTGGTGAAAAGATAGAAAAGACCAACTTCATACATCCCTATTTTGCTATCATTCCAGCTCTTATCAAAACATTCTCATCAGATTTGGTGTCATGAGAGAAGCAAGCCACAAAACTGGCTAGTGAGCATTTCTTATGTATCAGTGCTGTCTGCAGGCAGGGTCACTGTTCTTGCTACAAAAAAGTAGGTTGATATTTAGAAGAAATAACAGAATAATAAGCATCTTTGAGAATTCTGCTTTTGTGCAGAAGTTACGCAATTGAAGAGAAACAAAAAAAAAAAACAAAACCAAAACATTTCTTTCAGAAAGGTGAGAGTGATGAAAATACCACAGTTACACAAATGTAACTGCCACTGCATCAATGCAGGACTGAATGCTTCTATATATACAAACACATATGCTGCTCCATTGAAAGAATGCTTTTTTTGTAATCTAGAGGAAAAAAATAGAAAGGAAAAAAAATTCAGGAAAGTAATTGACATAATAAAGTAGGTGGAAGAAAAGCTCAGTGCAATCAGAATAGGTGGAAACATTTCCACTGACATCAGTAAAGTCAGGATTCCACTGCCCCTCTGTAATGGATTGAAAGCTCTTTCCTTTGAATGCTGACTCATGTTGACAGTGAAGTATATTTTTAGTTACAACAAAAGGCAGTTTTCTAACAGAAGGGTTTCTAAATAAAGGTCAAGTAAAACTGTACATAAGCTCAAGGTCAGGTTTAATATGGCCTTTTGGACACAAAAATGAGGAATAGTTTCCTGTTTGCAGTTAAAGAGTATAAATGTTGGAAGAAGTCTTCCTTGACCTACTTATATGTGAAAGCCTGATGGCTTCAGAGTACTTCCTACTGGGAAAAAAAAATCTAATAGCATCTGTCCTTTCCAAAATGCACACATTTGCCAACATTAAAAGATCCATATTCTTATTTTCCTGTTCACCACAAAACAAAATACATTTTAATATTCTGTAAACAGATAACTAAAAATATATTGTGTCCCAAAAATTGACATAATGATTTCATTTATCATTAACATAAATTCATGTTAGACTTTTCTCCAATCAATGGATTATCATACATTTTTCTTCTCACCCTTCTTCCCCTGTAAGGGAGAAGAAATTATATATGTATTTTCTGAGGGAATGATTCACTGGTTTCTGCAGTTAGAGTGTCAACCTTGGCTAGTCTTGGAAAACCCAGATGAGCACATATGGTTACTTGAGGTGCCATGCATTTCTTTCGCTTCAGCTCTTATCAGGGGATATTACTTTCCTTTGCAGTAATCTAATCTGGGGCAAAGCTTTTAAGTACCATAGGCAGTAAGAAAGGGAGTAAAATGCACCTTCTTTCACTGTTCAGATAAATAAAAATATTAACTATGTTTTGCCTTTACTAGTCAAGAACTTTTTAAACAAAGTGAAGCTCATGCAAAATGCTGCTCTTTGAGAATCATTTATCTCATATACCAAAATGCCACATAGAGTCTTCATAGATAAACTGAATATATCCAAGCCCTGGTTCTTAACTAACATCCCCAGACTTAGAAGGAATTCTAAAATTTGGCACCGTTTTTCTCCTGTTAGTCTGCATTTTATAAAATTTTCTGTATTTTGCAATCTATGAATCTTGTCCAAAAGCTATATGTTTACAAGTAGGGTGATATACTTATGTGATATATCACTTAGGGTGATATACTTCAGGTATCTTTATTGTAGGCTGGATTTAGCTCCCTTATCTTGAAGTTTCTGGTGGGGCTCTGAATTTCATCAAATATCATTATGAGAATTTCACTGACATCTTCCTCATATTTCTGTGAAGCAGCTCACACTGTCTGCCAATCTAAAACAAGCAGCCACATGAAGCCTCGTGGAGAGTGGCTGAGGGCACTTGGTCTGTTCAACTGGAGGAGACTGAGGGGAGACCTCATTGCAGTTACAACTTCCTCGTGAGGGGAAGAGGAGGAGCAGGCACTGATCTCTTCTCTGTGGTGACCAGTGACAGGACCCGAGGAAATGGCCTGAAGTTGTGTCAGGAGAGGTTTAGGTTGGATATTAGAAAGAGGTTCTTCCCTCAGAGGGTGGTTGCCACTGAACAGGCTCCCCAGGGAAGGGGTCACAGCACCAAAGCTGACAGAGTTCAAGAGGCATTTAGATGATCCTCTCAGGCACATGGTGTGACTCCTGGGGATGGTCCTGTGCAGGGCCTGGAGTTAGACTCAATAATCCTTGTGGGTCCCTTCCAACTCAGCACATTCTGTGACTCTGCCATCGTCAGTGTTGATCTAGGTAACTTTTACCAACCAGATTAAGAAAACTTTCTTGAAGACAATCTTGTTTTTCTTTTAAGTTTCTTAAGGACACTGTGCCCTCACACCATGCTGTGATGGCGTGTCTGTGCCTGCAGTAATATCTGCCATATATAAAATAATTACTTTCTGTTACTTTGATAGGTGTGAAATAAATCTCATGAACCTCAGAACACAGGACAATAAGTATTAACATTGCACATGAAGTATCAAGTAATCATTTTCCATTCTAAGCACTTTTTATTAAGATCTAAAACTAGTGTACTAACAATCTCTGTACTGAGCAGAAGTATTTGAATGTTCCTCATAGGAGAGCCAGAATGTGTCTCAGATACCATTGAATTATATGATAAATGCATTATACTAGATAAAAATTTTATACTGCCTAATGCACAAGCTATTAAGTCCCTACTATTACATTTGATACCTGGTAGTAAATCCAATCTAGGATGAAAAATAAAATAGATCTTTGTGTTTAGTTGTATTGTAGTAACTGTCAAACAACACTAAGGAATTTTTTCTCACTAAAGAGTGTGCTTTCAGCAAAGCAGGACATGAACAAACATGTTTCAGGTTACAACTAAAGAGTATGTTTAGTTTCAAGAGCAGAAACTTGAATGTTTCCTGCAGTTCTTTGGAGAGATATCAAGCAGTGACATCAGTTCTTGTGTTTCTAAAAGCTAAAAAAACTATAACTAATCCACAAAAACAACATGTATTCAAAAAAACCCACACACCTAATTCATTGTTTGGTTGACATAGAAAAGCATAAAGCAAAAACATTAGAATCAAATTTCAGGCTTAGTAATCACAAAGGTCAAACGTAATACTTATTTTTAAAGTATTTGTGGGTTTAGATACAAAAAACGGTGAAAAAAACAGAAAAATATTACTGATGCTGAGTTAAAATGTATTATATTAAAGGGAGAAATTCTGAATATAATTCTGAAAGTCAAAAAAAATAAAAAAGATGAGTTATTGCCTGTGTAATAAAAAGTCACAGGGAAAGAGAAAAATATGTGGAACAGAGGCAATAAAAAGGTAAAAGGAAGAGATTCACTGGAGAGACTACAGGATGTTTGTTTTATCTGTGACTGACCAAAACGGTGACCTGCCAGTACACTGATTGCCTTACCTCAATTCAGCAGGGAAATGAGGAATATTGGATTAATCTAGGTTTAACAGAGGGACCAGGGAAGGAAATGAGCCTGTTGTGCAGTCCACCCCCTTTCTCTGTGTGTTCCCACTGAAAGTCTCCCATGCCACCAGCTGTCTCTCCTTTCCTGCTTTTCTCAGTGGCTTGATCTACTTTGGATGATTGTCTTTCCATGCCCTGGCTACTGGGGAGCACAGTTCTGAACAGAGCAGGCAGACCTATAGTCGGTAAAGGAATGACCCAAGAAGACTTATAAGGAGCAGGTACATCTCATTTTGTTGATTAACTGGCAGAGCACTACTCCACCTCTTTAATGAGGTAGTAAGTAAGGCATGATTATTTTGCCTAATGTTTTAAAGTGACATTGGGATGACACAAAAATAGTCCTACAGCAGAACTACCTAATGTGGGCAAAATCTAGTCATTTGGCTACTACTTTTTTCCCCTCAAAATACTCATTTAGCTCTGCTTTCTTTTGTATGCATTTGCTATGAATACTTTTCTGACTGACTCCAACAGCCTCTTCTTAGTGTCCAGCTTCAAACACACTGAAGATATGTCTGTCTGCATACTAAAAAGAAAAAAAAAAAGCAGTTGACACCTTGGAAAAAGATCCATTTTATTAGAAAATACTATGGCCCACACATCTGGCTCTTTCAGAGCAGGAAATCCTCAGCGTGACTTGACAATAATCTTCTGGATAAACACCTAAGCCTGCAGAAATCAGTGCATCTCAGCACTGGACCACGCTGCATTTGAAAACAGAGAGGACCAACCCAAAGTTACAGAATAGCTGGCACTTTTTCATAGTAAATAGTCTTTTTGGCTAACTAGTGTAAATGAAAGTCCATAAAATATTTTCCCACTTTACAGGCAAATATCCTAACCAGATTTCCCAATTCTAATAATATTTAGATTTATTATGCTATTTCTCACTTTTCTATTTCCTCTTTAGTCTGTCACCCAAGGGTATCAATTACTTGTTGCTTTTTAGTATATACTGACTTGATTTGCATATGTGTCTCACATGAGATATTTCTTATATTACTGTTTCTCTATGTAAATAATTTTCTCAAATGGCTGCAGTGGTGAGCTAAAATAATATGTATATATTATGCTCCTGATATATTTAGGGCTCTAATCTTGTTTCCTAAAGCTATAGCATGATTCATAGGATAAACCCAAGGGAACAAAATGGTTGGATTCAAGGACACAACTTTCAGTATACCCAACTAAATCTACAAGGGCGTGAGAAGCAGTACAGAGAGTTCTATGATTTCCAGAAAAAGCGTCCAAAACAGGTTAGAAGTTTCCAAGGCTTTGCATATGCTGATAGTTATCAATCTAAATGGCAGACATGATACTCTTCATTTGTGAACTATTCCCAGGTTCCACTAGGCAGAGAGAAGAATGGACTCTGAAGTTTGTCTGTGCCTCATGTGAGGAAAACTGGGACTCAAGCCCTTGTCCAAATGGGTAAATAGTAATATTGCTACTACTGCTATTAGAGATGGGACACACAGAGATGTACCACAGAATGCCATGTAGTCTTGACTGTGATTCAACTTGTAACTCTGGGTCAGGCAAAGTAAGTCTGGGCAAAGTAAGTCTGAACAAAGACTTCTGAATATGCTCCAGGCCCCTGGCCATTAGGTGTCTGGAGTTATGGGAGGAGGCATTACTTCCCAGAGACAATATATAAGAGGAGATTCCAGTTCAAGATCCCAAGATAGTGATCCACTGATGGCAGTGCCTGCCAGAGCAGGGAGCTAAACAGGGAGAGGTACTTATGCTTTCCACCCACCTTCAGCATCTCATTTCTTTGTAGCTTCAGTGGATTTTCACTCATCTGGACTCTAAAACCTCTTTATGCCTAAGTCTTATTACTGTAGAGCCCAAAGTTCACGATTCCAGCAGGCACTTTGGGATCCTGGAGTTAGGTGATGCAATGCTGAGTGTTACAGCACCCAAATAACCCTAAAGCATCATTTTCAGAAATAGATTTCACAAGGACTGTCCAATACCTCAGTAGATGTGGTTCTGTAACTCCTGTGCACAACACATTACACCTACACAAATGAGCTGGGTCAGGGGCTTAGTGAGAAAATGGATTGTCAATAAGGACTATAAAGCTGCATCCCTTGACCTATTATGACAAAACACCATCATAACTACACGTAAGCATTCATTAACATTTTTTAAATTATTATGTAACTACCAGCACACTTGGTTCACAGCTGATAACAAAAATTAGTTACTTCCTTCTGTTCTTAAAAGAGATGTTTCCAGCCCAGGCAGTGGCACAGGGTATTTCTGTTTCAGAACAAAGTCCTGCCCAATCACACTGGCTAGACAGGATAAGAGAAGAGGGAAGCAATCCATCTTTGCAGGACTCCGTGTTGCATGAGTTTGCTATTTTTGTCTGGCAGCTTGGTTTATGTGACTGCTGGTCTGTTTGTGTTACTTGTGAAAAATCTCTCTTCCCCTGTTCTCAGCATTACCCCATTAAACAGGTTGGAGAACTTACACCCAAACTTTATTCAAAGTCACGCTGCTCCATGGTGGTATTTCAAAACTGACTTAAAGTGGGGCAAAACCTTGAGTGGACACCTTTAAGCACCAGACACACAACAATTTATGATTGAATTACCTGATTTAAGTTTCAGTGGTACAGTCCTGAATATAAATGTGCCCAAAGCAGACAAATTAAGTAGCAAAACACAGCAAAAAGTCTGAGCATTCGTGCAGTTCTTTGGAGAGATGCCAAAACTTAATAGCATGAACAGAATAAATAAACTTTATGAAAAAAAATCAATTTTTCAAAGGTAACAGCTGTTCTGCACTGGCTCATGGTGTGAACAGATTCCTCTCTGTTCACACAAACGAGTAGGCTAATGGGATTCAGTGTACTCAAACACCCAATGCACGCTTTGTCTTCGTCAAAAACTGATGTGAATGGGACTCCAAAAGTTTCTTTCTGAAACAAACAGAACAACTTTACCTATTTTGTGACCTGTTTCATATGAATTGTGACATTAAGTCCTTAGAATCAAAACCTGAGAACATTTACTCAGAAATGTCAACAGGGAAAGGAATCTGAAAATGTGTCGGAGGCAAACTGGGAGGCAGGGAGAAACATTTTTTGAATCCTACCTTTTTGATACATTCCTGAGATTTCCTAAACACCAAAACTGTGCTGTGCTAGAAGTCATGTGACTGCTTTACCTCACGCTATGTTTCATCAATTCAAATCAAATTTTCCACAAAGTATATGACACAACCTAGTTATATCAAATATAAAAGAGAAGGTGCATGAAACAGATTGCAAAAAAGGATCTTTTATCTTTGTTTCAGAAATCAATGCTTTAGCTGGACAGAAATTAAAGATTACACTATGCACAAACACAGATTACATTTTAAAATTATTAAATTTAAAGTTATTAAAATTAATACTATCTTTACACATCATATGGATTAAAAGGAAAGTGGTGGGTTTAGTGTGTTGAGTTCTTCTTCCATACTTCAAAATTGCACTTTGGTGTAGTTTCTTTTCTACAAATTTATTCACTACTATGACTTCATAAAAGCCCTTTAATGCTTTCTTTTGTTCTTCCCCAGTATGGTTTTCATTGAATTTTGCTCATGATGTAAAGTTATAGCTCCCAGTAAACACAACCCTTGCTAGCAAATAAAATCATTAATTATTAACAGGAGCTGTTAGTTTGAGGACAGATATCTGGACACTATGTTATTCTAACATCTCATGGGAGTTGGGCAGGCAGAGGTCCTGCAAAACCTGGGAAAAGAGGCTGTGTAGACTGGGTCAGAATCTTCCTTCATGTGTAATAGGGCAGTGACAGCTTCACCTTCCAGGAACTGCTGCATTGACAGTGCTGCTGCAGTGCAGAAGGGAAGAAGTTGGCAAGTCCCTCCTCTCAGCAACATCTCCTTCTACCATTACAGCCCTCACATTTCACAGGGTGAATTGCACAGAGATTCACCCCAAGACTTTGCATGGGGTTGTAACCACTGCAGCTGGTCACAGATGTGGCACATGCAGAGACGCGAGGGAGGAGGGAATGTGGTTTGGCCCCTGTGAGAAAATACCTAAGCTCCAACATCACTCTATTAAGGAATTTTCAATTTCAGCCCCAATAAGACTCAGATAAGCAGCTGTGATTGACAGGAACAGTCTATAATTCAATTGTAGCCAGTTTCAGGATCAGATAATATTCAGTAGCAGAAAGGAAATTGGTGCATTAATGCCCAAAAGCCAAAGAGAAACTCATTTTGAGGAAATCACTCCTGCATTGGTAAGAGGGTACTGAAAGACAACAAAATGAAAACCAACAAAAACGTGTTGTTTATTATATCTTAGGGTTTGGTTTTCTACTTTTTCTAGTTTTAGTTTTGATCTTTAACTGAACAATGCAAAATCATGAGTAGGCACCATTTTAATTTTAAATCTCTTTTTATGTTTAACATTTGGGGGTAGAGAGCATGTGTATAAACACCATGATAAAAAACTCTTTCACAATATAAATGCAAAATTATCTGTTTATATTTTTATTGTTCTTTCTATACTCTTTGTTCTCCAAATATTCAGTAACAAACTGGAGGCTCTGCTGTGCTTGGCACTGCACAGAAACCCAACAGAAAATTCCCCCACAGTCTACAGGACAGCAACTTGCAAGACATCAGACAGAGATACAGATAGAGAAACGTATGCAAGGAAATTATCAGACACTATATTTTTTTATATATTATTATAATATTTTAAGGAACTTTAACTAGTTTAAGTTTTTCTGAAGTATTTTTCTAAGAAAACTTACTGGACGTGTGAGGGACAACACAAAGAACATGCTTTCTGGAAAATTTAATAAGTAGATAACATGAGCAAGGATGCTGACAAACAGAGGTAGAAGAACAATTAGTAATCCTGAGAGAGAGAGATGAATGATGAGGTGGGGTTTATCCATGAAAATTATGTCAATCAGAAAATGTATGGAAACAGACAAGAAAAAGCCCAAAAGAACAGGAGGGAAAAGAAAGGAAAACATATTATGTACATGAACACCCCTGGGATTTAGCATGACTAATCATCACCAAGCCTGAGATCTGGGGGATAAGTTAACAACCCCTTTGCAAGATCTCACTCTTCATAACAGCAGCATGCAAAATGCTTTGCTGCTCTTCTAAAGCTGCAGTGTTTCATCTTTAAAAGTTAAAAAATATCTCTGCTTTTCTCATTCAGCATGCACTGTGCACTATGATATAAACTAATATTTTTTCACAAAACCCTTCTTTTTTTCCCCTCAAAGCTATTTTACTCATTTTTCAGTGATCAGTGCACATGCTGGTCCTTTTTCTATCCACCTTCCCACCACAGGCTTTGCTCAGCCTCCTGACTCTCCATTCAAACATCAGGAGTGAGTGTAATGTGACAACTAAGTTGATGAGCCCCCTCTCCCAGCCCTTTGTCTAGCTTGCCTGACAGACACTCAGGAGCAGAATTCATCCAATTATGCTGTTTCTCATCCCTTATTGCTACCTCCCAACCCCTCCAAGCTCACACTAATTTTTACAGTGTAAGCACAAATGCACATGTACAGTAGTTTATCTTGGCATCTAAAAGACAAAGATCATTAGGGTAGGTCCAGAATAGGAGAATGAAAGAAAGTGAATCACAAGTATATTCTAAAACTATCTTCCCCTGGTTACTGAAAAAAATGTTCAAAACAGAAACGTTTATGAGTTCAAATAATTTAGCTACTTTCCTATTGTTACAGGAGAACCACAAAGTAAAGCTTACCAGCACTTGTAATGACTACAACTACAGAGCTCACATTTCACGGTTTTGTAGATATTTAATTTTCTTGAGAGAATACTTCATTTGATCATGAAGTGTTTTATAACACATCCTATTTAGATTACAAGACACTGTCTAGTCTGAGGGGGGTGCCCTTAGGTAGCACTACACTACCAATAGGAAAAACAAAATTATATTAGTACTGGTACAGTGTATTTGAATTTTCTGCCCTTTGTCAGGCCATCCCATACTGCTCTCCCACACACACACACCAAGGACCTGCTGCTATGCCTTAACTGAAAGTCAAACTCTGCAGGTAAAGCCCGTGCAATATAGAGTAAACCAGAGTGACTTCATAGAGCAGAGGAACAAATACTGCCTGGGAGCTGGGACCTACCAGCCTCAATTCCTCAAGGAAACTGCAGAGTATTTTCTGTTCATTGCTGATTCTAGGGACAGAAGTTTATGTAGCTCAGCAGGGAATGGCCACAGACTGAATGAGTTCTCTCAGTTTCCTCAGTGATGGAACTGAGATGCAGGCAAATAAAACTACCTGACACACAATCTCAAAACAAGATGCAGGACCTGTTCAAAGTTCCATCTCATCCTTAAACAAACACAGGAGCCCGATTCACCCATTCAGACAATGTTACTGCAGCCATAAAAGATAATCTGCTGTCATCTTTTCTTTCAGGATAAAAAGCTTTCTGCTGCCTCTCAATATAATGTTGTAAGAGCTTTTTTGTCAAAACAGTGAGGTCAAAAGACTTCTCTGCTATTAAACTTTTCTGCATCTTAAATTTCTTCTACTTCATATGTCACAGGCTCCTTTCAGTTTGCTGACCTGGGGAGGTTCACAGGACAATGCCTCAGTGTCCAGAGTGACAGGACAGGAAACATGCACTTCTCAGGCACCCTTCTCACATTGTCACAGTGTTTTACTGCAAGTCACAATCAACATGATACCATGAGAGAAACAACCAGAAATAAGAAAATCAAGGAGGGAATGACACAGAGGGGGCATAACATTTTTCTAGTACCTGATATTCACAAACCCGGAGAAGGACAGCCCTGCAGACACCACCAGATTCAAAGCTACCTGTTCCCAAGACTGGGGCCTGAAGCACATCCCATACAGCCTCTCTCCATTCCTAAATGCTCTTTCTGAGGTGGCCCAAGCTGTCTAAATGGGAAATTAATTTCTTATCTGTCTTCTAATGGATACTATTGCCTTTTAGCTCTCTCAAATAGTAACGTCCCATGAGGCAACAGACCTTATGTGTGTTATTTAAACCCACATATATGTATTTGATTTGCTACTTCAACCTTGT